GGGATTCCCATGATGCATTGAGTTTTTCCTTTCCAGTCACCTTTCTCACTCACTATGTGTTAATTAATCTCCGCCTCTCTTCCACAGCATGTCTTTATCCTTCCTTCTCTCTCCCCAAATGGTCGCAGCAGATGGCCCCGCCCCTCCCTGACCCTGGTTCTGCCAGAGGAATCTTCCTGTTAAAAAGGGAGTTTTTCCTTCCCACTGTCGCTAAAGTGCTTGCTCATAGGGGGTCCTACTGTACAATATAAAGCGCCTTGAGGCGACTGCTGTTGTGATTTGGCGCTATATAAATAAAATTGAATTACCACAATTATTACAGTCAATTAAAAAGTGCATGTGATACTTATATATGCAGATGACTAAACTCTATTTAACCACCTTCTACAGTCATTGTTCTACAGTTACTGTCTTGTACCCATTTCTGGCTCACTTTAAAAAAAAAAAGTAATGCATAATAAACTCTGATGTAAACAAAACCCATAAAAAATAATAACTTAATTTAAGTTTTAATCTGTAAGCTTAAGCATCTCCAAGCATGTGATTACATGAAATTTCCCCTTGTGGGACTAATAAAGGTATCTTATCTTACCACCTGGTGGTGATTGGGATCAGATGGCAGGGGACAGGTCTGGTGTGCTCAAATATGTAATGAAGGTGTGCTGGGAGCATCTAGCAGAAGCCCCAGTCCGTGAAATATTAGGTCTTTAGCTATTGCTGCGAACGCAAGTGTGGTTCTTTTTTACCAGACTGTTGATTTGGCCACTCCTTAAGTTCTTATTTAATTATGTCTCCCTGACCTGTATCAACATCTGTTTGAACCTTTTGTTGAGTGATTTTAAACAGCTACCGAACTGATATTCTATACTTGGAAACAAATCCTGAATAGAATAGAATGCCTTTATTGTCACTATACAGATGAACTGTATAACCAATGATATATACAATGTACCTTTATTCCCACCTGCCAGGGCTTTTTTCACTGATGGCTTCTTCAGCAGTTTCTTTACTGCAACACACACACATTTGTACATCTTTGTAAACAGTCATTGATACAATGCATTCCTTAGCGCTTCACCCACCCTCACCCAACTATAACTTCTAAAGGCTTGGCACTCATATACACACTTAAATACACACACAAAGGTCAACTGAGGTAACACAGTATTTATGGTCGAAGCATCAAACTCCTGTTGAGTAATCCATATCCAGTGTTCTATTGTGTTTATGCCTTTATATTTTCAGAATATCTCCTGTCTGAGTCACCGCTATTGCTTAAATAGGAATGGGAAGGGACTGTCATAATAAATTATGGACAGTACACATTCAAAGAGCATTTTCTGAGTAACTTGTACTTTGTATAAATTCCCTAGCTTTGGCAAGGTACTCTCTCATTAAAAAAGTATGATGTGGAACAAAGTCTGACTTGTGGAACAGGTTAATTATATTTTGTAATAAGACATTTACTTGGCAGAAAAAAAGTTAATCCTGCCAAACTGATAATTATCTCAACCATCAAGTTATACTCACATGATCTGTATTCTGATCTGGTGGAAAAACAGCAAAAGAGAATAACAGGTCATAATGAAAGTTATGGCCCAAAAGTGGCCAGTACAGTATACAGAAGCATCTGTGCCGAGTATGGCCTGGAAGCCTCGGGGTCAAAATAGCGATGGCTAACCAACCGGACATAGTAGTGGTGGACAAGCAGCAGTAGTGATAGATATAGCGATATTGAGTGACAGCAACATCAGAAAGAAGGAACACGAAAAGCTGGAGAAGTACCAAGGGCTCAGAGAAGAGCTCCAGAAGATGGGGAAGGTGAAGGTAACAGTGATCCCAGTGGTAAGCACTCGGTGCAGTGACCCCCAAGCTAGGCAAGTGGCTCCAGCAGATCCCACGAACAACAACCGAGATCCCCGTCCAGAAGAGCGAAGTCCTAGGAGCAGCTAAGATACTGCGCAGGACCCTCAAGCTCCCAGGCCTCTGGTAGAGGACCTGAGCCTGAGGACTGCCCACAGGGCGAGAGGGGATTTTTTAAAAATATATTTATATGTGTGTATATGTGTGATACCTTCCTTTTACTTCTGTATGAGCTCCTCTTTTAATTTTGCCTTTGACTTAAGCTCAGTGCAAATAAAGAAGCCACTTTTGGCTGCCCCCTTGTCACAGTGGGTTGCTCTACTTATTTGATTTGGCAGAGTTTTACGCCGGATGTCCTTCCTGACACAACCCCAAAGGAGATTTTTGTCTCAAGCTGGAAACCAGTGATCCTTGCCAAACAGATCTGTTAACCACTAATACTAATGAAAATAAAAATCTGACAAAAGAAAGTCAAAGACATAACAAGATGAATTACCAAAAGAAAACCGTTAATTAGAAAAAGTGCTCAGATCAGAGTGGTGTCATGACACTAGGAAAGCACAGACAGAACAAGAACAAATATATATTCCTAATATAAAGGTGTGTATCATTTACCTGGTCGCGCAGCTGCAGGAAGAGCTGTGGTGCTGGTCTCGCTGATCAGCTCCTGTGGAACATTAATGGGCTCTAAAACACACAGAAGGTATGATAATTAGTGGAGAAGACAGATATGCATCATTCACATCTGCAATCAAATGATGATATTAATCAATTAAAAATTGTGTTTTTGTTTTGTTTAATCCCTGCTAATTTGCAGTTTTTAAAATATACATTTTTTTCTGTTGTATAATTACAGGTAAAGCTTTCCAGTACTATATAAGTTTAAACAATCTCCAGATAAATATATATTAAAATAATGTATATATCATTCTGAAATTACAATTCTAGGTACTTTCACCAAAGTTGTTCCACCTACTGGTGAGGCTGAAGGAGGCGGTCCAGTGAGACAGGGCCTGTGAGTGTATACCGTGGGCATATGAGCTGATGTAGTTGTGCCGTCCCTGCAGCCTATGAACCCTAACAGGGCCCCCAGCTGGGCCCAGGATACCTCTGTATGAAAAGACAAAATAAAAGTATTATTATCAGTGGAAAAAGTTCATTAACAGTTATGAGAGTTGCTACTCGTGAAGTCAATTACAA